GCATACGTCTTTAAACGCTAATATAATTAACCTAAATCATTTCAAAATGTTCATACTAAAGATAATTTTAAAACAGCTTGAAAAAGTTTATTGTAGCTGATATCAAAGATTTGTGAAAATCAAAATTGTGGGAATTTCATGGGTTTATATATATTTAAAAATTAAGCGACGATCGCTTTGGTGTGCACTCCATGATGTGGTCACGAAAATTTTAAAGTTATATACAATTCATCAATCAAATACATTAATATATAAACAATAGTATTCTATGTTGAAATCCATAAAGATCAGTATGCTTTTCAGTAAATCTCAGATATCAAATACGTTTCTATTGTCTTAGATCTGGTCCGGTGCTTTAGAGATATCGATCATTCTGATGTTTAGAAATTTGCCACCAATTGCCAATTTAGTTTGAAGTAAAAGGATCACAAGCTCAATCGTTTCAATATGAAAAATATAATTATAATCAAATACACAGATATCATAATTTATAATTCATAATGCATTTAATTAAATATAGCTAAGCTAAACAATATCACAAGGCAAAAGTTACTATAGAATCTCTATATCATATGGACCATCAGACTTCAATTGCATAGTTTTAATAATCTTATAATAAAATTGTTGTATTATTACTCTTTGCTTCCAACATTTTAGTCTTCATTTCCACAAATACTTCAGCCCAAGGTTTAGGAAAATCTTTAACTCTACCTCCAATATATTGATCATTTTCTGCATTTTTTAAAAGTGAATTAACTTCATCATAAGATAATGGATCACCTGCAGTTTTTTTCAAAAATTCAATGGTTTCTTCATTTGATAAATTATCTGGAATTTCTGGGAAATAAGGTAATGAATGAATTGGTGTATTTGGTTCAGTTTTCCAACCTTGTTTTAATTCACCAATATCAATAGTTTTAAAGCCAACATCATTTATAAATTTTGAAATTTGTTCTTTAGCTTTTGAATCATCACCTGCAATTGGTAAAATTGTTTGATTTGGTAAATCATTAATCTCTGAAGCTATTTTCAAATGAACTGCAGTTATATTATTAAAAGCTTTAACTAATCTCGTTGAATGTTTATTATCTAAGAAACTTGCAACATATTCACTTGTTGTTAATTCACCAGTTTCTAATTCAGTTATATATGTATCACTTTTAGGGAAATAATTTGATGTATCAATAATAATTTTATTATTCAAACCTAATTGTGGTAATAAACCACTGACACATTTTAATGGAACTGACAGTACAATAACTTCAATTTCAGGGTCTGTAGCTATTTTCTTTGGTGTAGAAGCTGATGATAATGGACCAAGAGCATTGATAACTGGTTCTAATGTTTCTGGTTCTCTTGAATTACTCAATATAACTTTATAACCTGCTCTAACTGCTAATTTGGCTATACCACCACCCATTTGACCTGAACCTATGAATCCAATAGTTTGTGTCATGATTGCTGTGTGCTGTATCCTCTATGTTGGTATTAATGAACTAATCGACAATGAATTGTCCTAACAATATATATAGTATGGTTACTATCAATTGATGAATTGGATTTAATGAAATAAGAAATCTATTGATTCTGCTTTACATATCAATTTCAATTTTAAGGGCTATTAAATTATTATCAACACATCGTGGTTAAACCAAAGTTGCTCCGATGGGTTAAACCCGATCATACATCAAAAATTAGAACGTCGAGTTATTTACATTGATGTCGTTCAAATCATCTACATTAACATATTTGACATATTAAAGATATGAAAAACTAACATTCCACTTATAAAACCAATTTCGAACTACCTGAAGCTTTAGCTTTAGCTTGTTCAGCATACAATTCATAAATGATTTCAGTCAAAAAATTTGGATAATTCTCAGGTCTACCACCAACAACAGTTGGTCTTTCAGTATCGTCAAGAACTTGTTTGACCTTTTCATGAGTTAATGGGTTAGCTGGTGTTTTCTTATAAAATCTCTTTAATGCTTCATGATCAGAATTTTCTGGAGCTTTTGGTAAATAAATACCACCATAGAATGGGGTAGTTGGTTCAAATTTCCAACTTAGTGATGATGGACCAACGTCATAAGTTTTATAACCAAGCTTTTGAGCAAACTCATTAGCCAATTGTTTAGCATTGGTATCATCCCCAGCTATTGGTAAAATTGTTTGTTTTGATTCGTCTTGGGTAGCTGAAGCTCTCAATTGGAAAGAAATAATATTGCTGAAAATTTTAACTAATTTATTTGATGATTCTAAATATTTCAAAATATATTCAATTGTTGTTAATTTATTTGAATTCAATTCTTCTAATTCACCATCTCTATAGGGGTAATAATTTGAAGCATCAAAGATGACCTTATTTTTCAAACCCAGTGAAGGTAATAAAGTTGGTACAGCATTTAATGGAAGTGCAAGGACAATGATCTTGATGTTTTCAGCTTTAGAAATTTTATCAGGTGTACTAGCTTCAGCACTTTCACCAAGAAATGAAATAATATCTGCTAAAGATTCTGGACCTCTTGAATTACTCAAGATAACTTTATAACCAGCATCAATAGCTAATCTAGCAATGGTACCACCAGTTTGACCAGCACCAATGAATCCAATTGTTTCAGACATTATAATTACTTAATTGTTTAAAATATACTATACTACAATGTCATAAATAATAAAACCCCAAAAATTTGGCACTGATCTTACATATATATCTTGAAAACTTAGTTTTGATCATGGATCAGCTGAGTAACTAGGGCTTACCAAGAAGTACATTTCATATTACACCATCAATATTTCAGGAAGGTGCCACCTTTTCTGTTTCTCTAGAAGTATCCAATTATACTTGATATATTTCTTTCAAGCTGAAAGCTTACTCTAGATGCCATATAGTTAAACTTGAAACTTGAACATCAGATTGTCAAAAGGCTGAAGGTCGGGCATAATATAGAAGCCGATTATATAATTCTAGATCTACTATAGTCGATCACGAACAAAGTTTAATACCAACTGTACTGGTACTGATAATTGATAATCATGTAAGCTAATTCCAAAGAGCTTAAACTATTTAAAAGGTATATACTTTAGGAGATCAGATCATTGGATTTGATTCCTGCGGCTAAATCTCATTAAATATAGTTCATATTTGATGCAGTACTGACTAGGAAGTTAAATGGGCCGGGATTAAAATTATATAGACGTTTGTATAACAATCACTCGAGGTCGGCTTCAATTAAGGGCCAAAGAATGTATCAATGCAGTTATTATAATTAAATATACTGTTGGAGCTTGGGTAGTAGCCTGTACTATGTAGGTATAATAGTTGGTGATATTCCATGCTTGATGCATGATAGCGCATTGAAGAATATCTTGATCAATTATAAACGTGAATACGTGGATCTGGTTTTCATGTAATTTTAGTTACATTAGCGTGTACTTGTCTAGGACTTAAATATATATCCAGCGGATCTATTATAATTTCTTTATATGATTCCATGACTGGTAATCTCTACAATGTTTTTCCCAATTTAGTATAATTTATATATTAATACATGATGGATGCCCAAGTAGAGTTCAACAGCAGCAGCTCCTATGAGTCCTATATTAACAATTGAAATCAATTATATTAATGTTAATATAATACCTTATTAAAACTCATCATTTTCTTAAATATATCGAGTGTAACTTCACCAGCTAGGTCATTCTTTTATTTATGTCATTTTATATATTAGGAATCCATCAGTTAAACAGATCATCAAGCACAAAATTTGCATGGAAATCAATCAAGAATTGAATATTTGATCATCGACAGCTGCAGCTGCATATTGTCAATTATACCGACGTGACGATACGCTTGAATCTCTGAATCTAATTGCATTAAAATTCTTATATGATCATGAAGCGTATAGTCAATTTCAAGTAAGTGCTCGCGTCTTAATCTGCAATTACACTAGACGTAATTGGTGAGAATAGGGGGATACTTAGTTTGCAATCTATTTCCATTCAAGAAATATCTAAACAATTTGAATTCCATCCGGATCATCTCATTAGATGTTTATTATACTTTGTTTTTCGAAGTCTGTTGCTATATCAATCTGCGCCTGAGCTATATGTACATAATTTTGGTTTAATAAACAACACATTCATCCAATTAATTATAGACATTTCAACATTAGAGATACGTATGATTCTAACATAAAATTATAAAATCAATTTAGAGTTACCTGAAGCTTTATCCTTAGCTTGTTGAGCATATAAATCATAAACGATCTCGGTCAAATATTTAGGATAATTTTCAGGTCTACCACCAACAACAGTTGATCTTTCAGTAGAGTCAAGAACTTCTTTGGCCTTTTCATAAGTTAATGGATTAGCTTGAGACTTTTTATAAAACTCTTTTAAACCGTCATGATCTAAGTCCTTTGGAGCTTCAGGTAAATAAATACCACCATAGAATGGTGTATTTGGTTCAAATTTCCAACTAAGTGATGATGGACCAACATCATAAGTTTTATAACCAATTTTTTGAACAAAGTCATTAGTTAATTTTTTAGCTTCATCATCATCACCAGCTATTGGTAAGATGGTTTGATTCGATTCATCTTGAGTAGCTGAATTTCTTAAATGGAAAGAAAAAATATTATTGAAGATTTTAACTAATTTATTTGATGAGTCTAGGTATTTAGAGACATATTCACTTGTTGTTAGTTTATTTGAATCTAGTTCTTCCAAGTTACCTTCTCTAACAGGATAATAATTTGATGTATCCAAAATAACTTTATTCTTCAAACCTAATGATGGCAATAGAGTTGGAACAGCATTTAATGGGATTGAAAGAACAATGATCTTAATGTTTTTATCTTTGGCAATGTTGGCAGAAGTATCAGCTTTAGCGTTTTCACCAAGAGATGAGATAACACCTGATAAAGATTCTGGACCTCTTGAATTACTCAAGACAACTTTGTAACCAGCATCGACAGCTAATCTAGCAACTGTACCACCGATTTGACCAACACCAATAAACCCAATTGTTTCAGACATTATGATTAATATCACTCAATCTAAGATATGGTATATGTCAATATAAATCAAGAACATTGAAACTTTGGCACATTGCCCTTTTTTATATATTTTGATTGCAAAAGCTTAATTTCGATCATAATATTGTCGATCTAAGTAGTTAGAACTTAGTGCTCCTGACCAATAATGCTTTAGTCAATTAACCGCCGTCACACTTTCCGGATTATAAAGGTGCACCGTGCTACCTTTTGTTGTCTCTTTGAAAGTGAGCAATCACCTGTTTTGTTGATAAAAGTAGCCAAAAAGTAAACTTTCCATGTCCTTAAGGGGTTAAAAGGGGTTGAGCAGTTGAGCAACTTCTCAAAAGGTTCACGCATTTAAGGCCAAATAGAAAGCGCCATAATCATCAATATGATGTTTTTTAAAAAAGCCGATTATATAATACCAGATATATAATAGCATGCACCCGTATACCTAAAGTTTAATAACCATTGAGTAATATGCTTGAATGTATTAAGTTTTATGAAAGAAGGATATTTAGGAGAATTATATATTTAATTTATATATATAAGGGTATCTTGAGAGCTAGCTTCTCAAATAATTTGGTTGATTGTGGAGTAGAAAACATAGAAGGCCGGTGATTTCTAATAATCTCCATGACACCATCCATAAAATTGTAAATACATATTAGTAGTACGTTTATATAGGATATAAACTTTTTGCACTTAGTATAGAGATTTTCAATGGTTAATTGAAGCTATAATACGATTACGAGCCATGGAAATTAGTATATATCGCATTATACACTTCCTCTGTACAGTAATTTTCAAATGTATTACACATATTATAAATCGGTAACATTTATTCAATTGTAAACAATAAACACTGCAAGGAATAGATCCTGATTAAATTAATTATAAAACCAATTTAGCAGTACCAGAGGCTTTAGCTTGAGCTTCTTCAGCATATAATTCAGTGATGATTTCCAATAAGAACTTTGGGGTAGCTTCAAAACTACCACCGACAACAGCTGGTCTTTCAGTAGCATCAATAACTTGTTTAGCTTGTTCATGGGTTAATGGATTGGCTGGGGTTTTCTTGAAGAATGTTTTCAATGCTTCATGATCTGAACCTTCTGGTGGTTGCGGTAAATAGGCACCAACATAAAATGGAGTATTTGGTTCAAATTTCCAACTGAGGGATAATGGACCAACATCATAAGTCTTATAACCAATTTTCTTAGAAAATTCATTAGCAACCTTTTTAGCTTCATCATCACCAGCAATTGGTAAAATTGTTTGTTTTGATTCATCTTGAGTTGCTGAACTTCTTAATTGGAAAGAAATAATGTTGTTGAAAATCTTAACATATTTGTTTGAAGAATCCAAATATTTTAAGACATATTCACTTGTAGTCAATTTGTTTGAGTCTAATTCTTCTAAATTACCTTCTCTGAAAGGATAGTAATTTGAAGTATCCAAGATAACTTTGTTTTTCAAACCTAATGAAGGTAATAAAGTTGGAACAGCATTTAATGGGATTGAAAGAACAATGATATTAATGTTTTCATCTTTAGCAATGTTTGCAGAAGTATCAGCTTTGGCATTCTCACCAAGAGATGAAATGACACCTGATAAAGATTCTGGACCTCTTGAATTACTCAAGACAACTTTGTAGCCAGCATCAATAGCTAATCTAGCAACAGTACCACCGATTTGACCAACACCAATAACTCCAATTGTTTCAGACATGTTATGATAATTACTTTAATTCAATCAAGCTTAATATATTAGTATACCTATATGTATGTGACTTAATATATCTAATTAATCAATTAGAAGATCATCTTGAAGAATAAGTTAGTCTTTATAGCTTATTTATATACATCTATCAGCTTCAATAATTAGCTGGCAGCTTATTAATGTTTGATCTTTGACGTCCGAAATCCGAGTACTATTATCAGAGCTGTCGTATAACAAGGAACACCTACTATTCTCGGATTTAGCGCGGTAGAATAAAAGTGGATGGTTAAATACTCTTAGTTTTTGCATCACATGTTTGATGTAAGATATTTATGGGGCCGTAAATTTGTACATAAACTTTCTTGTTAGTAGTTACCTTACAGCTAAGGTTTTAACGGATTGAATGATTTGAGTATACCTTAAGCTTATAATTAATTGATGAGTAATTATGACCGGTCTTAATCGGGGGTTTAACTTCACTAGAGCTTGACGGTTTGGGCATTACGTATAATATAGGACGTTACTTAATACTATATCGTGTTAATTTATTATAGTACACTGGAATATATACGGCTATATCACAATCATGTACTGGAGTACATCACAATTCTATTAATTAAGACCAAAATTAACTTCATATATTTCCTAGTCAAATCATTATTTGGACGTACGAAGGTATATAATACAAATTGTGGAGTTCAGGGTCCATAACTTACTCTGAACAATACATTAATTTGAGTGTCGATCATATAATATTATCGTATATATCAATTTCGACTTTATAAGCGACTTTTTGAGTTTATTGTGTTTCTTCTGTGATCATAACCTTATATAGTAACATGTTACTACTTACCATCCCCGACTACAACTAGCTGATTTAAACTTAATACTCCCATGCTCTTATTCGTGATCAAAAATGTTCTCATATAGAGATCTATATCTCAATAATAGATATGGAATTGATTTGAATGTACAATTCCAGTTGATTATATATAACCTTCACAGTGTATCTAAAATGGGGATTACAACACTATGACAATATAATACATGATGTTTCGTTCATAAGTATTTCATGTATTAAATGTCTGGAAACATTAAAAGACATATATTCAGGCACTAGATCCTAATTTAAAACTATAAAATCAATTTTGAATTACCTGAAGCTTTATCTTTAGCTTGTTCAACATATAATTCAGTAATAATTTCTAATAAATATTTTGGGAAACCTTCAGGTCTACCACCGACAACAGTTGGTCTTTCAGTAGCATCAATAATTTGTTTTACCTTTTCATGAGTCAATGGATTGGCTGGGGCTTTTTTGTAGAAAGCTTTCAAAGCTTCATGATCTGAACCTTCTGGAGCTTTTGGTAAATAAACACCACCATAGAATGGAGTATTTGGTTCAAATTTCCAACTGAGGGATGATGGACCAACATCATAAGTTTTATAACCGATTTTAGCACAGAATTCAGTTGTAATCTTTTTAGCTTCATCATCATTACCAGCAATTGGTAAAATTGTTTGTTTTGATTCATCTTGAGTTGCAGAATTTCTTAATTGAACAGAAATGATATTATTGAAGATTTTAACTAATTTATTTGATGGGTCTAGGTATTTTAAGACATATTCACTTGTTGTTAGCTTATTTGAATCTAATTCTTCTAAATTACCTTCTCTGAAAGGATAATAATTTGAAGTATCCAAGATAATTTTATTTTTCAAACCTAATGAAGGTAATAAAGTTGGAACAGCATTTAATGGAATTGAAAGAACAATGATTTTAATGTTTTCATCTTTAGCAATGTTGGCAGAAGTATCAGCTTTAGCATTTTCACCAAGAGATGAGATAGCACCTGATAAAGATTCTGGACCTCTTGAGTTACTCAAGACAACTTTATAACCAGCATCGACAGCTAATCTAGCAACGGTACCACCAATTTGACCAACACCAATAAATCCAATTGTTTCAGACATTACAATCAATTATTTATTCAATATATTTAAAATGTAACAATTAAAACCAAGAATACTGAAAATTTGGCACATTTCTTGATATTTATATAATTATCGTGTACTTGCTGAATCCTGATCTAGAAACTTCTTCCTCGGCCTGGAGCCTGGGATCAAAATTTCAGTGCCATTTATAAGCAGGCTCGGAAAATGGCGCTAGCATATGGGCTGGGAGTTAGGGAATATCGCATCTTACGGGGTTGTAACTTGTGTCGTTCTAATTTGAATACCTTATGCTATTAATGAAATATAACTTGAAGCATAGTAATATATTCGATAATTCATGTCTATTTGTCTCCCAGAATAAAATTGATTTGCTATTTGACGGTTAAAGTTTAAATTTTGAGGTTGCCTAGACGGAGAAACGGCGGAATTATGACGGACTTAATAATCAGGAAATAGAGGGTAACACTTTTATGATTATCTAATTTACTTGTAATCATAGATAAAATTAAGTAAACAATAAACAAAATAACAAAATAACAAAATAATGCTTTTAAGGTAAAAGTGTTTTAATAACTATTATTGCAATATCAGGATAATTGTGTATTGAATGGCTGGTGATCATGACTGAGCCCCATACCCTGTCGTTATCGGGAGTCAAGCGAGCCAGGGTGGCCAAATCGTGTACCATTTGTCGTCAAAAGAAGATTAAGTGTGACAAAGTTAAACCAAGTTGTGGGAATTGTAGTAAAAGGGATAGATCTCATTTATGTAAATATGAAGATCCAGAATGGAATATTAATGTCCCTGGTGGTGGCTCAAAAGCAGGTAATGGTAATGGCAAATTTGGTGAACATTTTGCAAAAGTTCGTGATAATTTAATACAACTTGATGGCGGTGATGATACTAGTGGCCATGGTGGTGTTGAAGACCATAATCGAAGTAATAATCAAATCAACAGTGAAAATAATATCTATCAAATACCCAGAAATAACAGCAACTATAGTCAATATTCCAATCCTTCGAATGGTTCATTAAGCTCTACAACACAATCCATTGATGAGCCAATATTAAATTTTTATAAAAAGAATTATGGTTCACCAAGAATGATGACTCAAGGTGTATTAAATTGGGTTACATTATTGAAAAAAGATATATATTTAAATGCTGTTTTTGAATCTTCAAGAAGTGAAAAAGTACTGATCAGTGTTAAACCTAAAAATAATACAAATCATGAAAAGGAATTCATCTCAAAATATAAAACTCAATTATACCTTGATGTGGATTTAAAATCTTCACCGTTAGAAATCCCAAAGTTTGCAAATAAAGATTTAATCACGTGTATTAAATCATGTTTATCTGATCTAAAATTGGTTTGGATCTTGGTGGATTTATTCTTTGGATCAGAGCTTTATTGTTTTCTACCTTTATTTGATAAAAATGAATTCAAGTCACAGTTATCTGAGATTATTGGTCCAAGAAGTGACTCAGAACTCAATAATGATGACAAAACGTCTTCAATCAAGATAACAAAAAGACTTGAACTAAGTACAATTGGAAGTTTATTAGTTATAATGAGATTTTCCTCATTATCATTATATAATGCTTTGAGATTTGATAAAAACGATTTAACATCAACAGAATTATATATATATGAACATCCAATTAAAAAAAATTTCATCAGTTTGGCACAAAAATGCTTTTCAGAAGTTCATGAGTTTCGTGAAGCAAATTTAAAAATCTTCCAATTAGATTTATTAATTAGATATTATTCATTAATTTCACCAGAAGATTGTGATTGTCTTTTATTATCATGTACACAGGCAATGGGACCTTTGATACATTCTGCAATGATTAATGGATTGAATCGTGATCCAAAAATTGCCCATCCAGAACATCCAAATCCCAATTTATTAAGAAGATTATGGTACAAAGTTCTTTATTTAGATTATTATCAAGTTATATCAACTGGGGTTCCACCAATGATTAATGATCGATTTTTCGATACGATTCCACCAGTATTAAATACAGATTCGTCTGCATTAGATTACTTTATTGATGAAAAAATTAATGAAAGGAATAAATTACATGAATTCTTAAAACCATTATTAAATTTGATATTAGATGTTAAAGAACCACCAACTTTAAATAAAGTCATATTTATGTTAAAACCTCTAGAGAATTATGTTTATGGTTATTCTAAAATTGATTCAATAATGGGTATGTCATCAGATACTTTATTACAAAGAGTTAATAAAATTGGTAAAATCAATTGTTTTGTTGATACTGTTTCATTACTTTATATGATTTATTATCATTTTTATCTTTATCATAATGAAAATCAAGAATTTAAAGAATCATTTCATTATTTAATTGAAATGATTAAACTAATGTCATTTTGTACACCATTAGCAAGATTTTTGATGGATGAAAAACATGGTGGATTTGAATTTGATCTGAAAACTCATTTTGGTATTCCAATGTTTGTTATTCCAAGAATTGAATTACATTTACATAAGTGTATTCAATTATTATTTTCTATACTGGCAAGAATTAAAGATATGAAGATGAATCATTTAAAAAATAGATATATAATTGATGATGCTAAAATTAAAGTTTTGAATGATATTTCAGACTCTTCACTTAAAGTGGCTTGTTCCATTTTAAAATCATTTGCAAATATTTCAGATACTTATTATCATTCTTGGTCAATGCAAAAGATGCATGAGTTTATTATAAAGGGAGTGTTGAAAAATGATTATTCAGGTTATTTTGATCCTGATAAAGCTAAAGTAATAGATGAACGATTTTTAAATTGTTTAAATCAATCTAGAGATAATGATGGAATTTTTAATAGATATTCAATTGAAAATTTGAAAATATTGGATCAATATATAAATGAATTGGGGTTGACCTTCAAAGATACTGCCAGAAATACACCATCATCTGCAAGCTCTGTTGATACAAGTTTTAATAATTTAAATAATCCAACAAATGATTTGATATGGTTGAAACAATTTCAAATTGAAACTAGTGGTAGTTGCTCCAATGATTATTGGGGTCTACCATCAACAACAAACAATACAAACTCTAATCTATCAAATGATCCAAATAACGATAATAATAACAATAACATACCGTCGATTGATGATTCAAATATTATCAATGAATCTATTCTCAATGAAGGTGTTGATTTATTTGATTTAGATAGATTTTTCTATCAAGCCTATGGCGCATGATCTTGTCTCATGTATATAAAACTTTCAATATTCTATATTGTATATATTTTTTTATTTATTTTAATGAGTTATGACACAATTTATCAGCTAATTCTTCATGTAATTGGCTTTTCGACGGAATCGGGACCTCGAGGCGAGCGTTTTGCCAGATTCCACACGGGCTGGACAAGTTTTCTGTCAAATAATTTTCAACCGCTGAAATTTTAAATGTATACGGGCGCGCTTTTAATCAAGTTTTCGTTCAAGAGTATATAAATACATCAATAACAACACTAGGAATAACAGGGCGGCTACGATGGAGTCTCAAGGGTTCATCAAAATGGCTGGTCCTGTGAAAAGACAGAGACCAAACAAATCTTGTACGCTTTGCAGAGAGAAGAAAACGAAAGTGAGTAAACACTATGATTAATTAAGCAATTTAAAACTAGTTATATATATCTTAAGATTACTAACTCTTCTAATCTCTTAGTGTGATCGAGTAAAACCAGTTTGTGGTACTTGTGAAAGAAGGAAATGTTCAGATCAATGTAAATATGAAGGTCCGGACTGGTCAGTGAAAGTCGGTGAAGATAAATATATAACAACAACAAGACCTAAAAAACAAACTAAGATGAATTCTACACCAGATACAGATAATTCGAACTCCAATCTGAAGGATTCTATACCTAATAATTCATATTCAAGATCATCCTCTAGGTCGCCTTTTCAGCGATCAATTATTCAACAATTACCCCCTGTGATACCACCTGTTCCCTCTAGAATTCAACAGAGTTCATCTCAACCATTCATTACATCACCAAGTCCACAACTATCCAATCCACTACCACAACTACAACTACGGCCGCTCCAATCTCATCAGAATCAAAATCAAAATGAACAGCATTTCCATCCTTTTGATAGGTTAAGTGTATCAAACTTAGTGAGTCCACAAAATGTTAGTAGTGTGAATACACCAATTCCGGATTCAGATGATGATATTATTGATTTCTATAAAAATAACTATGGTGAGCCAACAATGCTTGGTCAAGGTATATTTACATGGGTTACTTTCCTGAAAAAAGATCCATATGCAAGAGCTGTTGTTTTATCATCCAAAAAGGATAAAGTTGTTTTCACTAATATGAAAAATGGGAAAAAAAGTGCCTTTACTGATAAATTCTATAATGAGCTTGATATAAATGAAAATGAAGGTGGTTCTAAAATCATAACAAATCAAAAAGCTAAGAATAAAGACCTTTTAAACTCTCTCAAAAAGATTTTATCGGATAGGAAATTAGTTTGGATTTTGATTCATAAATTTTTCGAATCAGAATTGATTGCAGTTTTCCCATTATTAGATAAGGATGATTTTATTATGGAAGTTTCTGAAATAATTAGTCATGACAGTCCGTCGACTTATTTCAATTTCCTTAAAAGAATTAATTTTGCTACAATTGGTACTTTATTATTAGTTATGAGATTGGCTTCATTAACTTCTTATAATGCAGGTAGAAATTCGTCCAAACCAAGATCTACAGATGACCTATATATCAAAGATCATCCAATAACAAAAGATGTATTAACACTTGTTCATTTATGTTTTGATGAAGTTATGAGATTCAAAGATGCACATTTAATTACTTTTCAATTTAATTTATTAATGGTTCATTATAAATTTTATGGACCTGAAGATTGTGATTGTATTGGCCGATCAAGTGCAACTTCAAATATGGGACCATTATTACATTCTGCTGTAGCACTTGGATTGAATAGAGATCCAAAAATTTCACATCCAAAATATAAAAATCCAGAATTATTAAGAAGACTGTGGTATTTAGTGGTTTATTTAGATTATTATCAAACAATGCTAGTTGGAAATTCTCCAATGATTAATAACAATTCATATGATGTTGAATTACCAAAATTAGATCATAATGCTTCAGCATTAACTTATGTTATTCATGAATCATTCCATGAAAGGAATAAACTTTCCAATATTTGTGAACCTTTATTCACAAGAATCATGAATGTTAATAATCAACCTAAGATAAGAGAAGTTTTAATGTTAATGAAACCAGTTGAAGAATATATTGAATCAAGCTTAAGACCTGAAGAAATAATAAAGATTTCATCAGATTCAGTTATGAATAGAGTTTCTAAATTGAAAATTCAAAATGTATTAGCAGATTCATTTTCAGTTTTATTTATGATGCATTACCATTTGTTTTTACATTATAGTGCATCAGGAAATTCTGAGCGTTCATTATATTATTGTTTGAAATTATTAAATCTTTGCAATTGTTTATTACCTGCAATGTTTCATTTCAAAGATGATCCGAATAAATCAGATAATGATTCAAATGAACAACAGCAAAAACAAAAAGACTTAAATTCTGAATTTGGGAGTTCAATACTAGCTCTACCTAAAATTGAACTAACTTTACATAAAATTAGTGAATTTATGATGGCACTATTAGCCAGAGTCAAAACATTCAAATTATTTGCTCATGATAAATTAAACATTGACGATGAAACATTACAAATTGTTGATAATATTGGTAGTTTACTATTCAAGACTGTTTTTTTCTTATTAGAATGTTTCACAGATATTTCAGATACTTACTATCACAGTTGGTGTATGACTAAAATTCAAAGTTTCATAATTGAAAAAGTTTTAAAAAATAAACGTGGTAAAATGAATTTTGATAAAATAGATCCATTGGAAAAAGGTTATTCAGAAAAGATTAAGCCATTAATTAAAGAAGACGAAGGGTTCTTTCTTTATTCCAAACAAGATTTACAACAAATTTTACAAGAATTAGAAATCATTGATCTTTCATCATTAGGTCAAAGTCCAACACCAGAAAGATTATTCTATCATTTAAATTCAAATAATATTAAAAATGATCAATTATGGTTAGATCAATTATTTGATGGAAATTTTAATCCTGATCAATTTCAACCATTTAGTCATAATCATCAAAATCATCAAAATCACGACGTCCATTCTAGTAATCATAAATATCCTGAAGATGTTTCAATTTCTTCAGATAATGGATTAGAAATGAATAATAATAACAATTTACCAAATACAAATAAAAATATCAATAGAGATAACAATGGGAATAACAGTGGGAATTTAGATGATGATTCAAACACAATCCCAAATTCAATAGCTTTTGATTATGGTATGTTTGACTTAGAACAAATGTTATTCCGTTCAACAAATGATTTTTAAATTCAAAGGTTATAATAACTATTGGACGGTATAAATGAATAATGAATATCAGGTTTAGATTTAAGTTCGAATTTGTAATTTTATCATTTTTAAAGCTTCAATTGCTATAGCTATCATCTGGATAGATTGGATATTGATAAGGATATACGAAATTGCTGTAAACTAGGGCATCACGATCAGACAAAAATACTTGATATACTTGAGATATGATTCAATACAATATTAATTGAAGTGCTTCATATATATCTCACGAGTCACCATAAATAATATTCAATTCATTTCAATATAGTCTAACCAACTGAGCTCAATACTTCCAGCACATGGCTAATTATATCAATTATAATTCATAATCATAGTCGAGACTCGATATCCATAATATATTATGCTACGGGACTTTTCGGTCTTGAAAACTTCACCAAAGTTCCAACTTCCAAAGCGCTAAGCAAAGTAAATGATAAAACACGTTAAATGATTTTCATAGCATATACTTTTAATGTCAAATTATGCAATTGAGACGGAACTCTTGAGTATATGTTCAGTGCTTAAATGCCTCTCGCAAATATTTCAAATCAGGGTGCTTCGGTGGTTATACTTTTCTGGGTAATTACAATATTGAAGATCTTTAAAAATAAGGTTGAATTGGAACATTGGAACTGTGAAGTGTGAAGGTGTAATACTTTTATTCAATCAACAAGAGATAAAGAATTATAACGGTAAGTGTAAATATATGCTATAGTGTCTCAATGTAACTTATGTATAATTAAATTCATCATGAACTGGATCAAAGTTGTTTCAGTGCTAAGACATTTGAATATGAAGAAAGTGCGTCGTATAGGCTATATATAGCAGCTAAAAGCTCATGAAAGTTGAAACGTTCCAACGTAGGATCTATACATGGTTGTTTTCGTATATGGTGATCAGTGCTCACTTGTACTGTATGCATCAATGCTTATGAAATTGATTATTGTCTTCAAGCTCCAAGTGCTAAAACCTCATCCAGGTTTTCAATTTTTAACTATATTGTTCATCATAATATGGATACTTACTACCAATTAGTTATATATTATAGTACCCACGTCTAGGCTCTATATATCATTAAAACGAAAAGCACAGGCGAGCCAGTACTCTACTAATTATTAGATGGGTATAACGGTATAACTATTAACGCGGTGTGAACTCTGACTCCTGGCTCCTGACTCCTGAGTACACGGTGAAAGAAATATAAAATTATATCCTGTAAGTTTTGAACCATATGGTCAGTTTCCTGTAAGTGTTCTTAACTTCTTGGAGAATTATATGCCTTCGAGAATCGATACAGTGCCGCTTACTTATCAGGACAGCTATATATTACCGATAATTAACTACAAGAACACGGGCTTTTCTATTATCAGATTGGATCTTATAGGTTATAGGTGAATATTGCATATACAGTTGTACCCGTGTACGCACTCATATGAATTGAAGTATAAATCTTAGAAGCGAGTTAACAAGCATATTTAAAGACTGAAATCCACCGTTCGTTTCATAATTTAATCAATAGGGTCTTGACTCTTCCCAGTCTTCCCCAAGTTGTGTATGTTCAAGAATATTCGTAAAATTTTAGTAGATCAACGATGAGATTGGCTGCGAATTCCGACCACTTTTATAGATCTTATAGATCTATCATCTGAGTTTTGTACACAAACAATATGTAGTACGCGTCGTACTCTGGACCCTGGTGACTCGTGAGTTCAGACATCGGATGATTTAAAAAAATGTTTTTCAGCTACCGTCTATCTTTATATCTATATACCTGTAATATTGCACGTTCTTTAACATCAGTTTTCCAAAACTAAGTTGGAGTCTCTCTTCGTTATCTAGACATGGCTTTAGCTTCCCACTACGGGAATTCTGGTTATTTGGGTGTTTTCAGGTTAAATGCCAATTTTAATGCCATATATTATAGCGGCCCCCTCGGAAGTTGCCTTTTCAAGTTAGTGCTGCATCTGAAAAAAATAAGTACGTAAAGTTTGTAATCAAAGACAATATAAGCAAAGCTTTAAAGTGCAGATAAACTGAGAAAATTAGGCGGTTAAGGAATAAATACCACCTCCAATTCCACAGGGTTTGATATTCTTGGTCTTGTTTGAACTCGCTGCTTGAATTCTGGCTCTATTTGAACTTATTTTGTTTTTTGATTTCATATTTGTATTCTTTACCATTCACTTATAAGGTTATTCCATCGCTATATTAATCCATTACTTTTCATATTCCTATTCATATTCAAACATACCATAACAGCTCAATATCAATTATAACAATCATGGTGGCAAATAAGTCCAAAAAGGAATCGAAGAAAGCCGCAGCTGCTAATACAAACAAAAGAAGAAATAGAGTACCGATAAGTTGTACCATTTGCAGAAGAAGAAAGGTCAAATGTGATAAACAAAGACCAGTATGTACTGCTTGTAATAGAACTGGTGTTGCTCATTTATGTCATTATATTGATCCGCCATGGGCTCAACCTTTACAAAGTAATGAAATTGCACCTGTGCAAACAAATGTTGAACCTGAATCTGAAGTTGATAAATTAAAACAACGTATAAGAGAATTAGAATCCCAACTTTATCATCATAATGAACAATTACCTTCACCTCATGAAGATTCTGATGAGCGGGAAAGTCAATCAAGTCATGAACAAAACACTTCAATGGAATCTTTACCTAATGAATCTTTAAATTTGGGGAAAAAATTTGATATGTTACATATAAAATCAACAACAACAGTTCATTTAGGCGCTACATCTTGGTTAGCTATAATGAAAGGTGACCCATATTTAAGAGTTTTATGGGCACATATTTTCAAAATGAGGAAAAAAGTTGAAATGATGAAATTCAAATCTAAAATGATTCAAGTTCAAGAACAACAAGAGAGAATTAGAGCTGAAAATAATATTAATGATAAGAATAATAATGATAATGATAAAAATAATGATAATAAAGACAATACTAGTAATAAAGATAATAATGATACCAATGAATCAAAAGATATCGAAAATGATGAAAAGGGGCTAAATTCATCACCAAAATGTCCAGTCTCTGGGAGATCTGGTAATAATGAATCAAAATGTCCAGTTAGTCATCAATCACCACAATCTGAGCCATTAAAATGTCCAGTTGTGAAACCAAATTCAAATACAAATACACAATCACAATTAAGTCAGTGTCCAGTTCAACATAACAGTTCGAATACAACCAAGTCAAATCCACAAAATGAGACATTAGATGAATCTGGTGATAAAGTATGTCCATTAATGATAGGTGATTCATCATTTTTAAATGGGTTTAATGGTCAAGATCAAGAGATTCAAAATTCAAAACATGATCATTCATCATGCCCAATGAGTCATCAAAATCAACATCAACATTCTACAAATGATAAAAAACGTAAAAGATCATCGAATAATTCAAATGATAATAGTAATAACAATGGACCAAAACCTAAAAGATTAAGTAAAGCCGCTGAAAAGGAAGCCTCATTAAAATATCAACAAAATCCTGTATTTATGCTTGAATCATATTTACCTAAAAAGAAAACTCTATGGCTACATATCAAAAGATTTTTTGAAGTTTTATATGTTTATATGCCATATGTTGATGAGCCTTCATTTATTGAAGAACTGAAATTCATTTTTGGTGAAGAAAATGATAAAGATCAAACTATAAAGATTAAGATTCGCTCAGGTGTTGATTTTGCCCTTGTGGGGACGGTTTGCTTAATTTTGAGATTATCATGGCATACTTTACCAATGAATAATTCAGCAAAACTACTGAAAAAATCAATAAATTCCAAAAATTATCAAGAAGATCCAGCAACTATTTCATATTTACAAAAACCTGAAAATGAAGTTCAATTAAAATTAGTTGATTGTGTTAAACAATGTTTTAGTAATTTAAAATTAATGAGAAAATCAAGTTTAAAAATTGTTCAATGTGGATTATTTATGAGATTATATTTCATGTATTCACCAGATGATGGTGATGGAGCAGATGGATCAGATTCACAAATCTTTTTAGGAATGATTATTCAAATGGCTATAAGTATTGGATTACATCGTGATCCTAAAAATTTTGAAAATTTTAGTAATGAACGTCAAAGACATCTTTGGAGAAAGATTTGGTTTAAATTAATTTCACTTGATGTTTTACAAAGTATGAATTTAGGTTGTCCAAGAGCTTTACAAAATCATATGGAATTTAGTGATACAGAATTACCAGGAGATTCAGAAGATGGATTAACTTTAGAAGAATTCAAAAATGATTTAAAAGAGTTAACTATAATTAAAAACATTCATACTCAAGTTAAAATTGATGATTTAATTGCTAAAACTATGAAAGTTTTATTAAATTCAAATAAACCTGCTAGAAGATTCCAAGTTGATCAATTAATTGATCAATTAGAACAATGTACAAATGGATTTGAAATTATAAATGATAAATATGCCTTACCACAAATTGGTAAAATTTTGGTTAATAGATCTAAAAATGAACCACTATATGTCTCTGGAGTAAGAGCAATTGAATTTCAGTTACATGTTACTGTTAATATGTTATTATATCTTTTGAACTATATTTTATATGTTCATTTTGAACCAAGAGGCTCAACTGATATTGAAGTTTCCAAAATTGCTAAAAATTATGCACAAAAGGCATTAAATTGTGCTTTGGAAGGTTATAGAAATTGTACATTATTCTTTGACTGTGGATTAGAATATTTTGGACCAGGTGCAGATATTGTTCTTGCACCACTTTTACTGTTAGTTGGACATAGATCTATGCAATTTATGGTTTCATTAATTTTAAGATCAAGATGTGGACCATTTATGAAACCAAGTTTTAATCAAAAGCAAACTGAAGAGGATTTGTTAAGTAAAGCAACAACAAGTACATTTAAAGGTAATAAAACTAAAATTGAAGATCAAAATGATGAAAATGATGTATTGAAAGGCTATAATAATATTGATAATAGAAATCATGATTTAGATGAAGTTGAAATTAAAGATGAAAGTGATGAATTTACAAGTAAAATAACAACTTCAATATTTAATGTTGACGTTAATTCTGGTGAAGTTTTAGCCACAATTCTATTGAAACATATGGATAGTTTTCATAAATTAGCTGAAACTCTAGGATCAAAATATAATTATAGTTGGAGAATGGGGAAAGCTGTTGGATTTTTCGTTACATTATTGAAAAAACCTATAAATATTGTTAAAGATCTTGTTAAAACAGATAATATTAAACAAGTTGAAAAGAATCAAGGTGTTTCAAATGTTTTAAATTCAGTACCATTAGTTCTTTCTAAAGCACCAGAAGAAGATGTTAATAATCAAAATAATGGTGATGATGATCAACAAAATCAAGAGATGAAAAATCAAGCTGAAGATGTTGAAATCTCCAAAAATCCATCAGCTTCAAGTTTTAATGGTATTAATATTGATGAATTACAACAAAATAATGGTAATTTCAAGATAGATTCAAATTTTGATATGAATGGAAGTTTATTCAATCCATTATTTGAAAATTTAGATTCAATTAATTTCATGAGTGATTTAAATCCTTCTGCAAATGGAAATCAAGGATCAAATCTACAAACAAATCCAATTTTTTCCACATTTAATCAATTACAAAATAATCAAGCAAATATTCAAGCTGATTCAATATTTGGTAATTTCAATAATGTAAATAAATCAACATCAAATCAATCATCAAGTTCCACCACAACATCATTTAATCCAATGAATGTAAATCAACAAGATATTCCATTATCAGCATCAGCTTCAACTGCGTTTGGATTTGAAAATCTAATGCCAAATATAAATGATGTTGATGGAACAAATTTTTTTGACAATTTTATGAATATTGATGGAGATAAGAATTCAAATAATGTTATGGACTCTGGAGAATTTGGTAATATGATGTCAAACAGTTGGTTTAGTTAGATATATAATTTAATGAGATATGAATAAATATAGTATAATATATAAAAACTGATAGAAGTAGTTAATATACATTAATCCGATATTCCCAGCTTTTATACCGATCACTGCGCCTTTTAGCTAATGTATTCGCGAATTTTTAAAAATCCGTTTAAAAATGTTTAAATCCATTTAAAATTCAAAAGTAAATTTAAATCTTTTTTCAGCGGTAAACACAAATTATAAACGTCAAGACTCAACAGCTTATTGATCAGGAAGAAAGACGTACTAAAGAACCCGCAAGATATATTTGTGATTAGCCGTTGTGTGAATCAGTCCAATTACAAACAGAAATATCGTGATCTTGTTCATTTTAAGTGTATCGGCATTTGATAGTTGACACTATGACCGAGTCCAACACCACCACTCCAGCAAAAGAACCAAGTGCAACCTCGCCAGCAAAAGATGGTGAGAAGCAGCAGAGAAAGCGGATGAGAGTGCCTACATCGTGCTCGGTGTGTCGTAAAAGAAAGATCAAGGTGAGTATTAGATTTTATGCCTTTTGAATATTTGTAATAAGGCCTGTTGATAATTTTGTTGTTTTTTTTACCAACGGGTGCTTTTTCTTCGGAGTAAAATACTAACAAAAATTTGATTTTATAGTGTGATAAAGTGAAACCAGTTTGTGGGAGTTGTACAAAGAGTAGTGTTTCTCATTTGTGCTTCTATGAGGAGCCTTCATGGATCAGTTCAGATGAGTTGTTGAAACATGCTAAACAAGGGAAACAATCTCAAGATCATCAATCGAATAATGTGGTAAATTCCGATAATAACGGATCTTCATTAAATGTTAATGATTTATCACCTGCTGTTCAAAGTAAAATTGAAAGTCTGAATGACAAAATTAAACAATTAGAAGCTTCCATTGCTGTTACAGAATTATCAAGATCAACGTTACCAGCTTTCAATAGCATTCATACAAATCAAAATAGTGTATCACCACAACCTCAACACCAACACCAACACCAACAAAATCAACAACAAAGACAACATGATCATAATAATCAACAACATCAAAGTCAAAACTATTATCAACCTCAACAGGCTCCATATTTCTCTCAGCCAATAATGACTCCTCAACCAACTATCCCTAATAATCAACAATTTTATCAACAAAGACCTTCAAGTATTAATATTCCATCATCCATACCTCAAACGGCACCAGTATCAATCCCACCATTGAATGATTCAACAGCATCATCATCAACATATGATAATAAATATGACTTAGATTTAAATGAAAAAGTTGATTTATACGGTTTTTTCCCCTTCATGATTAAGAAAAGAAGATTAGAATGTCATGGTCCATTATCATTATTATCTTGTATGAAAAGAGATATTTTCCTAAGAGTTTTATGGTCTCATGTTTGGAAAACTTTAGAACATGCAAGAATTCAAGCTTTGGAAATAGAAAAAGCAAAAAAACAAACAAATGACGTTGATGATGATGATGATAATTCTCAAAAAAATCCACCAAAAGCTTGTGATTTAATTGATCATATTGATCCAATAACTACACAAACTATAACCCAAGGGAAATCTTCAACTTTACATAAAGAATTGAAAAAAGCTAAAATGGCATCAAAAATTGAAAATTTTAAAAATTCAAATAAATCAATCGATCAAATTATATTAGAATCTTTACCTTCTAGAAAAATCATAATGATTCTTATATTCAGATTTTTCAAATTTGTTTATCCTTTCTTACCATTTGTTGATGAAGGTACATTCCTTTTTGAGTTAGAAACAATTTGTCCAATTGATTATCAAGATTCTAATGTTGAATCATTAAACATTTCAAATAAATACGATTATTGTATTATTGGTTTATTATTGTTGATTATAAAATTAGGTTATTTAAGTATAACTGAGGAAGAATTAGAGTCAAAACCTGACTTAAAACCTCTCCAAGGTTATAAACCAAACTCAAATTTAATTACAGCTGTTAAATTATGTTTAGATCAATATAAACATTGGAGAAAACCATTTTGTTTAAGATTCATGCAATTATATCTTTATTTTAGACTTTATTTTAAATTCTGTCCTGAAGATGATGATGTTAATGATAGTTCTGAATCTCAAATCTTATTAGGAAGTTTATTTTCAAATGCTTATGCTCTTGGATTACATAGAGATCCAAACATTTTAGCTGAAATGACCAAAACTTCTAAAAGAAAAGTTCATGCAGAAACTTGGAGAAAAGTTTGGTATAAATTACTTGAACTGGATACTACTGAAAGTATTGTTACTGGACTACCTTTACATGTTATTGATGATCGTTCTTATGATACTAAATTACCTTCGGAGGATGATGATTACGATGAAACTGATAAATTTATTGTGAAAGATTTTAAATTTGTTCAACTAAAAAATGATTTATTTAGACAAGTTTCAATTGCAATTTTAAATATTAAAAATCAACCAAATGTTAAAGATATATTACATTTAATTAAAAAATTGGAAGTTTTCCAAAGTTCTCAGATTGGATCTTTAAAAGATATATTAAATGATTCATCATTATCAAAATATGCAATTGTTAAAAAAGTTACTTATTTATTTGAAGTTTCAACAATTTTATTAAATTTAAATACAATTATGTTCGAATTTTATCAAAAAAAATCAAATACCAAGAGAACTTTAGAATTCTTGGAATCAAGTTTAAAAATTTCTCTTAGAATTATAAATACTGCAATGAATTTAGCTTATAATGAAAATTTATATGTTGGTAAAGGATTTTCATATTATTTTAAACCACATGGTTCAAATCCAATTGTTAGAGCTTTTTTATTCTTAACAAGTATTGCACTTAGATTATCACAAGTTAAAAAGTTAGCAATTAGAAATAATGAACAATCAACAACAAGATTTAATATTTATGAGAAATTTTCAAATTTGATAATCTTTAATATGGAAAATACATTACAATTATTAACTAAAATGTCATCATCACATTATAATTTCTCCAGATTAGTTACTGCATCAAGTATTTTATGCCATGTTATTAAAAAACCAGATTTTGATTTTGATCAAGCTGGTCTTAGTGCAGTTGGTGATAAAACTGGTAATGATAACTTAATGCATAATCATTTACAAGATTTGACTGTTGAAGACTTACCATCAAATAACATATTTTCAGAATTATTAGAATCAGAATTATTACATCTTATGGATTTTACAAATTCAAGTTTAGTTACAATTTTACAACCTGTGATCAAAAAATCTAAAAAATCACAAAATAATTCAAATAATAATCAAAATAATCAAAATCAAAATAATCAAAATAATCAAAATAGTTTTAATGATTCTAATAATGGTTATAATTCAAATTCAAGTGGTCAATTTTATGATCCAATAAATGGTTTAACGAAAAGATCATCTAGTTTGTCAACTGATTCTTCATCAAATTTTAATTTATCACCATCAGCAATCAATCAAAATAATATTTTTAACCTTGATAACGAAGATTTAAACAAATTACTTGGTGTCCCAAATCTTGATGATTTAAATAATCAAACATTTGGTAAATTTGAATCAAATTTTGGATCAATTAGTGAGGAATATGCAAGTTTATTTGGAATGTTTGATGAAATTAATAATGAAGCCGAAGCTATTGGTAAATTTTGAAACTGTGGATATCTACAAAGGTATTCATAAAGACATTTTTCACATGTGTATTAATAGTATTCATTGTATATATATAGTTATACATACCCTAGTGACGTAATTCTATAGTTCTATACATGGCGCTAGATCAATCATTGCAGTAAATTGTACATTTGGAATATCATTAATTAGCTCAGGATATTAGATTTATGATTATTAATCAGTTGGCCTATGATCAACTGCACCATCATTATATACAACTGCTTTAATATCATATACATGTCAAGTAATTGTACCATCAGACCTATTATAGTTCAAGTCTACACTATAGTAGCTATTATTATTATATGTGTTTTTTTCCCAGCTTATGTAATAAAGTATATTTGTATAGTAATTTTCATCTGGTGGTAATTTCCTCCAAAACTTCAATTAGTTTTGAAGATTTTGAAGATTCAACTGTGTTAAGCTGTGGGTTGTATTGGTAGTGGTTATTCATGAATCTAGAACAAGTTGATGATTGTCATTATTGATCGATGATGATTTTCTTCAAAGTCATGAAATCTAAATATAATTGATGTTAAGTACCAGGAGTTCATGGAAATATGTTAACTACCAGGAGTTCATGGAAATTTGTTAAGCGGTACAAGTATGAGTGTTAAGTACCAGGAGTTCATGGAAATATGTTAACTACCAGGAGTTCAGGGAAATTTGTTAAGGGGTACAAAGATGAGTGTTAACTACCAGGAGTTCAGGGAAATTTGTTAAGTACCAGGAGTTCAGGGAAATTTGTTAACTACCAGGGGTTCAGGGAATTTGTTAAATACCAGGAGTTCATGGAAATCTGTTAACTACCAGGAGTTCATGGGAATTTGTTAAGCGGTACTAGGATGAGTGTTAACTACCAGGAGTTCAGGGAAATTTGTCAAGTGGTACAAAGATCGGTTTAAATTAGAGACTTTTGATCAAGTGTCATGGCTTACACTACACTCTATCTCAATATAACACAAATAGCTCATCAACTATTCAATATATATATTAAATTGATTTTATTGATAATAGTATAAGAGGAAATTATAAAATGATCTATAATGATTACTTAATCTCTTACGTGATCTCACTTAGTCGCGAATATATAAACAATTCATTTCCAAAACTTCAAGAACTTTTTAATTAAATAAATTCAAAATTTGCTATTCACTAGATAAACGACAAAAAGTAGTAGCCTATTCTGTTGGGTATATAGTTGTTTTATGTTTCCTAGACTTTAAAGCTTAAAGTTATGCAATAACCAATAATGATGTGTAATTGTTTTAACCAGGCTATAAGTGAAGTAGCGACATTTATCATTGGTATCAGCATGTATAAGTTCTCTCAAGTGTCGTTCATCTTGGACTTCTTTCATATTTCATTCAGCTTAGAAAGAATCTCTTGAACCTGTAAGTTGATAAGTTTATTGCCTTTGTCCAAAAATGCTTCTAATTGATGTTTAAGATCAATTATTTCATCTTCATCAAATACTTTCTTCATTTGAATTGGGAATTTTGTGATTAAAATACCAACTAATAAAGAATAGTAATGTTTGTGTTCATCTTCCACTTGATTGTATAGTTTATATAACTTTTTAATGTTCCATCTATCAATCAATTTTAATGCACATACTTCCTCTTCAGCTAGATTTATTAATAAACCTAATTCTAATAATCCAACTGGTGTATTATGATTTTCAGCACAACTTGAAATTGATTTATTAACTAAGTCTTTCTTGAAAACTGGTTGGAAATTTTTTGCAGATAAAACAATCAAAAGTTTCAATGATGGAACTTTACAATGGTTATTGTGATCGTTTAGATAAAAAAGATTATCAATAAGATCACTGAATATTTCATCAACTTCATCTTGTAAGCTTAAATATCTTTCTAGTAATATTAATGTCATGTTTATCATTTTGTAATTTTTTGATGAATCATTTGAGAGATCTTGGAATGTATTGATAATATTGGGGAGTAATTCATCGTTAATAAATAAATTGTTTTGTATAAGTAATGTTAATGCAAAGAATCTTGAGCTGTAATCATTAGTCCAACGAGTTTTCAAGTCTTCAAATGCAGATCTTGTAATTCGAGTTTCCCTCCTCAAATCTATATTTGATGGATTCTCCAAGAGTTTATTTACAACTTTCACAAGTTTTGAATCAAATTGAACTTTACCATTACCATCTTCCGTTATTTTGCAAACTATGAAACCAAATATAAGTAGTTGTAGTTGGTTATCAAGATCTATAAAATCATGTAAATTATTTAAACCGTGATTTTTAACAAACTGTGCAAAAGAATTATCAAAAAGCCGTATAGCAAGCTCAATTAATGAAGATGTTGAGGTTTTTGAGTCTATCCCTTCCATAATGAAATTCAATTCATCTATATATTGTGCATTTTCACCTTGTGCTCGTAAATTATTGACAGAATGTAGACCTTGTGATTTGTCAGGATCAAACTCAGACGTAATTGTAATATCTTGTTCTTCATCTAAATCATCATCTTTATGTCCATTTTGGCTATCCAATAGGAAACTTCTTTGTAAGCCATAACCTCTAATGGACTTGTGTAATTTCATTGAATTGGTACTTTGACTAGATGATGTTGAATTTTGGGTATCTAAAGCAGGTAAGATTTGTTCATTGTCTTCTTGTGTATCACGTTGTGTTTCTTGTTGTTCAAAACTCAAAGATTCAAGTATTCTATTATTATTTTCAGGTAAAGAATATTCACTTGATTTTGATTCGAGTGATTCTGACTGTTCACGGCCTTCAAGATCTAATTTCATAGTTTTCTTCTTTGGTCCTTCATCTTCACCTAATTCTGAAAGAAAATCCCATGTATCATTTGCGTTTGTTTCACCAGTAGGAACAGGAGCAGCCACTTTGACTGGTTTTTTGGGGCTCTTTAATTCTCTCTTAATGTAAGTAAGCTCAGTTTTAACCATTGAATTCCCCCTTTTAGAAGATTTATCTTTTGCAACAGGGGAACTTGTAACTGATCTAGATGGTGACCATGAAGGTTTCACAGATGATTCAACAAAGAAATTACTCAGTTGTGATCCAGGAGTTTCCTCTCTCTGGCTATTGGGTCTTGAATTTCTCTCAATTCCTCCATGTTTCTTCAGCGACTTTATAGGTTTAGTTCTTGCTTTATTAATTTTCTTTGGTGGTGGGACAGAGTAATCATCTTCTTGTAAATCAAATACACCATAATCAAAATCTTCATCCTCTTTAGCTAATTTCCCATTACTTTTCAGCACTTTTGGAGATCCCAATGGAGATGTTAATGGAATATTTTCACTTTCCAAACTATCAGATGGTGAAGGTGAACCTGTTTGGGATCCCAGGTTATTCTTCTTTGTTGGTGAAAACTCAACCGCTGATTGTAGTCTAGCACTTCCATGACGCCTAGAAGATCTTCCATAAACGTTCCTTAAGGACATGAGCACCTAAACACCCTCTATCTTTCCTTTCAACAGCTTCAAATGTTTTCAGCAAAGATATTTTGTCTTTCAAATACTTTCAAAATGGTTCAAAAGTTTCAAAAATGTTTTGTGTTTTGTTTTTGTTTTGATATTTTTATTTTATTTTTGGTTACGTAATTTCGGTGATGTTTTTTTTTTTTTTTTATTATGATAGAAAATTTTAATTTTTATATGCGATGAGCTAAATTTTGTATGGAGAATATTCCAAATTATACTTGGAAAGACATCAAGATAGTAGAAAGAATTACAAGATGGATGACGGATTATTGTTGAACTTTAGTACGGAAGCTAGTGCTCCTGCTCCAACAAAGTCAAGTGCCAAAGTCGTTGGTGGTAAATGGAAAGACCGTCGTAAAGCTCAATTATCTGCTAGAGGTATCAAGAAGAAAGATAGATCTAAATCAGGTGTTAATGCTCAACCAGTTAAAGAAAAAGAACCAAAAGAAATAACTACATCAAATACTGAAACTAAACCAACTGAAGGTCAACCACAGTCAAGACCTGTTAAGAAAAGATCTGCTCCTTCTGAAAATGAAAATAAAGGTCCTTCAAAACAAGCTAGATTTACTGAAGGTAGAGGTACAGCAGGTAAAAATGATACATATGTTTCATCTTTATTTACATCGAATCCTGAATTAACCAAAAGAGATTATAATCAAGAAATGGAAGTTCATGAACCATCAAATGCTCCATTAGCTGATGCTACAAGTTTTAATGGGTTAGGATTAAATGAAATTTTAAATAATCATTTAACCGAACATTTATCTTTGAAAAATCCAACAAAAATTCAAAGATCAGTATTACCAAGATTACTTACAAGAGAAAGAGATTTATTTGTTCAAGCTCAAACAGGTTCAGGTAAAACTTTGGCATTTGTTTTACCAATTTTCCAAAAATTAATGGAAATTAAAGATTTAAATAGAACAACTGGGATTTTTGCATTAATTTTAGCACCAACAAGAGAATTAGCTACACAAATTTATAGTGTTATTGAAACTTTAACACGTTGTTGTCATAGAATTGTTCCAGGTATTGTTATTGGTGGTGAAAAGAAAAAATCTGAAAAAGCTAGACTAAGAAAAGGTGTAAATATTCTTGTTGCTACTCCAGGTAGATTAGCTGATCATATTGAACACACAGAAAGATTAGATTTATCAAATATAAGGTATGTTGTTCTTGATGAAGGTGATAAATTGATGGAATTGGGGTTTGAAGAAACAATTACTCAAATTTTGACAGATATTGAGAAAACCTCAAGAATCAATGCTACTATAAGATTATATCCAACTTTACCACATAAAAGAATTAATGTTCTTTGTTCTGCAACTATCAAAGGTAATGTTAAGAAATTAGGTGAAATTTCATTAAGTGATGCTGAAATGGTTAATAATAATTCAGTTCCAGATGCTGATGATTTAGAAATGGCTGAAAATGTTGCAGCACCAGATCAATTATTACAACAAGTTTGTGTTGTACCTCCAAAATTAAGATTAGTTTCCCTTGCGGCAATTTTGAAAAATATAACATCAATAAAGACAATAGGTTCACGTACAATGATTTTCCTTTCATGTTCAGATTCTGTTGATTTCCATTTTTCAATTTTTGCTAAAGATGGTAAAATTTTCAATAAAGTATCTAAAGAATATGAAGATCCAAGAGATTCTCAAAGTACTGTATTAACTTCACCTTTATTAGGAGAAAATACATTTGTTTATAAATTACATGGGTCATTATCACAACAAACACGTACAGCTACATTATCTGCATTTTCCAAAGCTCCAGAAGATCAACATACCATATTATTTTGTACAGATGTTGCATCAAGAGGTTTAGATTTACCTTATATATCAACAGTTATTGAATATGATCCACCTTTTGCAACAGAAGATCATTTACATAGAATTGGTAGAACAGCTCGTGCAGGTAAATCAGGTAAATCATTTTTATTTTTATTACCAACTGAAGAGAAATATTTGGAATTAATTGAACATTATCATCCAAATGGTGTTAAACATAGATCTTATGAAGATTTATTAACAACAGGATTTGGTGTTAAATGGGATTTCGATGCTACAACATGGCATTTAAATATTGAAAGATGGTTATTAGAAGATGAAACAACTCATGAAAAAGCTGTAAAGGGGTTTACAAGTCATATTAGAGCTTATGCAACACATATATCATTAGAAAAATCAATTTTTAATTTAAAATCATTACATTTAGGTCATTTAGCTAAAAGTTTTGGACTTCGTGAAACTCCAAAGAAATTAGGTGGTAAAACTTCAAATAATGAAGTTGGTAAAAGAAAGAAAGAAAATCCAAAAGATAAAATGTTTAGAATGGCAAGAATGACTGCTAAAGCACAAAGTGATGAATTTAATTTTATGTAATTTAGATATATATAATGACGTTATAATAGTGTTCAATAAAAGACGTGTAGAATCTAAAGTAATTCCCAAATATTTGGTTGAAAAAAAATTGAATGAGTATATCAAATCTTTGAGACCACATCTGATTATAATTTTGATTTGGCTATAGGATCTTTAATATCTTTAGGAGCTATTGAGACGTTGATATATCTGTTTTCTACACAAGACCGTTATAAAGTTACTTTGTCTGAACACCGGCGGTCATACTTATTTTTAATAATTTAATTAGCTGTTTACAATTCATATATTTTTTATCAGCGGCTAATTATATATTCAGCTTTGTGGATGTCAATTTTCAAATTATTTATATAAATACATGTTTATTTGTAACCTTGTTCTGATTTTTAAGACTTTTATATTTTAAGCTTCTCATAATTAGCTATGTGAGCTTCATTTGACAGATTTTTTTTAAGAACTTTCGTTAATAATATTTGTTTGTTAGCAGCTAAAAGCTTTTTTTTAACCATTATGATATTATGATTTATATATTGATATATATATTTTATGCAAAATTAATCAATAAATATTACAAAACACATTGAACCAATTTGATGACAATAGCGGTTGAAAAGCTGTGATTCATCTTGTTTTTGGGTTCAATGAAACATATTTTAAAATACACTATGATTAAATGTAGTATAAATTGTCTGGAGTTGGTGGCGACTTAATGTATTTTCAACGTGTAATCTATAATATTATATTTTGTAGTTATAACTAATATTGAGATACATATATAGGATATTCATAATCACAATAATAGAAGAAAGGGGGCATTTAAAACAAAAAAGAAGCTCAGTTGAAACTCAGAATTGGTCAAATCATTCAGTATGTGGTAAGATCGTATAACCGCTTCAAATTAATTAACTAAATTAAAGGGAATTTGCTAACCCATCACAAAGAGTCAAATAAAAATGAAAGGATATATAGCTTATGTAATTAAATGGTTATTATTAATATTTAATAGATCTACAAATTATATGTTGTTAAAAGGACAAATAACAGCTTTCAATATATATCAAATCGTATCAGTAAATTGGATCGATTAATTTTTCTATATGGAGCTATGTGTATTAATTAATCATGTACTATTCAATATTAATCATTTGATTAAACGCAAAAGACAGCCATGAGTATGACTATACTCTACTTTCATAAACACAAACACGAAACAGAAAGATAGAAATCACATACACTTACGTCTGTTACATCTCACAAAATTATTCAACTAATTAATATATATATTTGGACACTCAAATTAACATTAATATTTCGATTTTTAGGGATACTTTTGAGTTTACATTTGAAAATCTAATCTGGTATAATTAATTCAATTTACACTAATTACATAATCATGTACACAAATACACATGTAGTGCACACTAGTGAAAAAAAAAATTCACTACAACACAACCTCTATTATCAATTTGACTGTTTTATTGCATGTTTAATTTTGTATTATCAATAATTAGTTCTTTTATAATAATTATTTGTTCACTATAACAATTTTCACTCTTAGAATCAATATTGATGATATTATCTAATATATATACAAGGTATATTATATAAGTATATCAATCAATATCAATATACATCATTGGATCAATTTGATGACAATAGCGGTTGAAAAGCTGTGAATCATCTTGTTTTTGCGTCCAATGAAACATATTTTTAAATACACTATGATTGAATGTAGTATAAATTGTCTGAAGTTGATGGCGCTTAGATAAAGTATATCATACGTGTAATTTATGATATATATGTTGTACTCCGCTAACTCTTCTAGTCCGATAACTTGTAGTAGTTCCCGGGACGGGGTACGAGGTCCATACCGCCAACAACCTTTAGCTAGCGGTATGGTAAGTGCAGTATACCGCCAACTTCATATAGTTAACGGTATGGTAAGAGCAGTGTACCATCAACTACGATAAGTTAACGGTACACCACCAACTCTTTGAATGGAATACTATGCTTTATTTAACCAAATTTGAGATAAAACATCTTCCCAATACAATATAAAGTATCAATGATAAAGCTGGGATGC